CCCACCACCCCCCGCGCGCGCCCGGCCCCCAGGCTCCTCCACCACCCGTCTTCGCCCACCCGCGGCCTTTGCGGACCCAACCCTAGCTTCCGCCCCTCTTCCGGAGGCTGACTCCTGCCGCCCAGCTTCTGGGTCTCCCCATTTTCACCCTTATCGTCCAGTCCCACTGTCCCCAACAACTGTCACACCCTTCCCCCATCTCCCTCGGGGCCCCAGCCGCACCCAGCCTGGGAGGCAACCTGTCCGGGGCAGAGGGCCTGGTCTGAGCCTCAGAGGGAGCCATGGACAGGCTGCTGGGCATACCCTAGACACCCAGCGTCCCTGCCGCCCCGCTGGGCCTCTCTAGATGGGGCTCATGGAAATCCAGCAGGGAGTCTGGGGGGAAGGGACCATGTGGGGAGGGGGCTGGCTTCTGGGTGTAGACCAGTTGTGAGGGCAGGGAGGTACTGTACCCAGAGCAGCTCACCCCTCCCTGCTGCTTCTGGGTCTCTACCCTGCTCCTGGCGCAGTGGGACTCCTCCAGACCCTGGCTTCCAGGCCCAGAGGGCCAGCCAGAGCCACAAAGGCAGGCGCACTCCCTGGCTCCCTGGGGAGTAACTGGCTTTCCCCTGGGCCTGCAAAACGCAGTGGGGGAGGGGACGCCCAGGGAGTAGCGCTCAGGGTTCAACTTGACATCAGGATGTGAGTCTGGGAGCCTGGGGCCTTTGGGACTCCAGCCTGGAATCTGGGGTTCTCCTTTGACCTCCCCTCAGGACCAGCCCCTGGGCTAGAGTTTGGGTTGGTGGCACACTCCTTGCACCTATCCTTGCACCCTGACCCTGGGCTCTCCTCCAGGGCTCCTCAGGACATAAGCCTGGAGGAGTTTGATGATGAAGATTTGTCTGAAATCACTGATGACTGTGGCCTGGGCCTCAGCTACGACTCGGACCACTGTGAGAAGGTGGGAAAGAGGCTTGGCCCACAGAGGAGGGTCTGGCTTAGAGCTCCCCTCTGACTGCCTCCAGCCTTCTAGGTCCCTTGGCCTGTGATCTTCCTTGCATCAAATCTTGTTTCTAGCAGTCTCAGGCGGTCCTCTCCTGAGAGAGGCCCTGCTCCAGCAGGTCTGGGTGGCGAGGAGTGAAGTACGTCAGCTTTGCAGATGAAATGTCAGTGCCCAGAAAGATCTAGTGCCGTCCACTGCCCTCTCCTGGACCCTTATCCCCCAGTTCTCCAACCTCTGCACCCATCTGCCTGCCTGTCCGTCCCCACCCCACCCCTGCCCACCGTAACCCTCTCACTGTCCCGTCACTGCCTTGCTGCCCTGCCTCCCACAGACTCTTCCCATTGACATCATTTATTCAGGAGCATGTCTGACCCAGGGGCAGGCGGTGAGGGCTCTGGTGCTGGGGGATGCAAAGCTAGGGGGTGTTCAAGGATGGACAGGTATGGCCTTGGCTCTGGGGAGAGACAGACATGCTAGGGACGGTGACTGCTCACATGTCCAAGGCTGGATTCCCATGAGGCAGCAGGTGTAGGGCACGGGTGGGGGGGCACAAGGTGCTATGGGGGAGTTGGACGAGTATTGGCAGGACCCAGGCATGGGGGTTCCCTCAGAGGAAGAGACAAGGCTGGAGTCAGGGGCCGAGGGTGGTCATTCCAGGCCTGGAGGCCCTTCATTCCTTCCTTCCTCACTCAGCAGTGCCTACTAGCTCTGAGCACCAGCTTCTGCTTTGGGGCTGAGGCACCACTGTGCCACATGGACAGGGTTCTAGCCTGGTGGGCGTGCAGAGAAGTGGGGGCAGGCCAGACCCCTCCGACAATCACTGTAAAGTGTAAATGCTTCCAAGGGAGCCAGGTCCATGTTGGATGAGGCAGGCTGGGTCAGGGAGGGGTGAGTATGTTGGTTGGGACCTGGGACCTGACTGGAGGCCTCTGTCGTCCTCTTGCAGGGTGGTGGTGGGGTCAGAGTGAGCTGCTTGTCCCTTTCCTGGACCTGGGACCCCAGTTGCTGCCTCAGAACCTGGCCCAGTCCTGCTCTCCCCTCCTTTCTGCAGGACAGCTTCTCCCTGGGGCGCTCGGAGCAGCCACACCCCATCTGCTCCTTCCAGGATGACTTCCAGGAGTTTGAGATGATCGATGACAATGAGGAGGAGGAGGAGGAGGAGCAGGAGGAGGAGGAGGAGGAGGGAAACGGGGAGGAAGGAGGCTTCCAGGACTCCAATGCTTCTGTCTCTGAGACCCTGATCCCCTGCCCTTCCTCCAATGAGCCCCACAAGCACCGGCCCACCACACTCCATCTGACTGCCCTGGGAGCCCAGGTGAGTGACTCCCCCAGCACCCACCAGTCTGGAGCTCACTCAGCCCCTCTGGACCTGCCTCCCCCGAGGCTGGCACCCCTCCTCAGCGCTGCTCCTCACCCACCCAGGACTCCCTGAACAACAATGGGGCCCTCAACCCTGCTTCCATAGCCTCCTGGCCAGAGACCCTGCGTTCCCCGCCCCAGGAACCCCTCCCAGGTGAGCGGGTGCTGGAGACCAGGGACTGGGGAGGGGGACTGGTGGCCTGAAGGACAGGTGGCCTCGACGCCCCCTTCTGCCATCTCCTCTCACCTCGCAGAGCCCCTCGGCGGCGGCAGCGCCCTCCCGCCTACGGACACGGGTCCCCGCAGGGCCCAGTCCCCTGCCTGCGCAGGCTGGGACAGCGAGGGGAACCGGCCCGCGGCGCCTGGCGGGGCCTCGCCCTCCTCGGACCCGGGCATCGAGGCCGACCTGCGGAGCGGCTCCAGTGGGGGCCGCGGCGGTCGGCGGAGCAGCCAGGAGCTGTCCACGCCCGGCTCGGACTCGGAGGATGCGGGCGGCGCGCGCCTGGGCCGCATGATCTCGTCCATCTCCGAGACGGAGCTGGAGCTGAGCAGCGACGGCGGGGGCAGCAGCAGCAGCGGCCGCTCGTGGCATCTCACCAACTCCATTGAGGAGGCCTCGTCGCCCGAGGCCGAGCCCGAGGCCGAGCCCGAGCCGCCGCGCCGGCCCGCCTTCCTGCCCGTGGGCCCCGACGACACCAACAGCGAGTACGAGTCAGGGTCCGAGTCGGAGCCTGACCTCAGCGAGGACGCCGACTCGCCCTGGCTGCTCAGCAACTTGGTGAGCCGCATGATCTCCCAGGGCTCCTCGCCCATCCGCTGCCCCGGCCAGTGCCTGTCGCCGCGGCCGCCCGGGGAGCCCGCGTCGCC